GCATCACTTCAAACCGGGCCTGGAGATCTTGAATATATTCCTCAGACGATGAAGGAGCATCCGGAGGGCGACCAAATAATAGATCACAAGGCAGACGAAGGTCACGACCGAAGAGCATCTGTGATGGGGAATAGCCGGTAGTCTCGTGAACAGCACTGCGGTAAGCCAGTAAAACCAGCGATAAATTCTTGTCCCAGTCCTGCTGGTTTCTGGAAACTACTAATGAGAGGTTATTAAGGATGGTTCGATTGAACCTCTCTACCATGCCGTCCGACTGGGGATGTAATGGCGTCGTTTGGGTTTTTTGTCAATGCCGATTAGTTTGCATAGTTCTTTGATTACTACCGAGGTAAAATTCCTTCCCTGATCGGAATGTAACTGAAGAGGCCCTCCGAACCTGGAAATCCAGGGCTGTATCATCACCTCAGCTACTGTAACAGCCTCTTGATCAGGAATAGGATACGCTTCAGGCCACTTGGTGAAGTAATCAATGACAACGAGTATGTGTTTGTTGCCATCAGCAGTTCGTGGCAGAGGTTCCTAGATGTCAAAGGCGATACGTTCAAACGGCGCACCTACGTTGTAACGTTGCAGCTTGCCTCGGCTGCGTTTCCTCGGTCCTTTCCGACCTGCACAGGCATCGCAAGATCGGCACCACATTTCACGTCATTCTTTGTATCATTCCAGTAAAAGCGCCCACGAACTCTCTGCAAGGTCTTCATTATTCCAAAGTGGCCTCCTGTATGTCTGCTATGTAGTTCTTTAAAAACATCAGGAATGCGAGATCTTGGAAGTATCAGTTGCCATCGAAACGTCTTCCCATCATCCGATTCGAATTTACGGTATAAGACGCCGTTTCGAATGTAAAGTGAATCCCAGAGTGCCCAGTATTGTTTTGTTGTAGGACTACAGATAGAAATGTCCTGCCAAGTAGGTTTTCTGTTTGATGACTCCATTAAATCAATTATGGGTTTAATGTCGTGGTCTTTCAGCTGGTCTTTCCGGACTTCATCATCACTCCACGGGTCTCGATCAGCCGATGTTGATGTCATAATTTGTCTTGCGACGGGAGTCAGCAGCTCGTATCTCGCTTCCACCCTGGAACAATATTGGCAGCATTCTGGACAAGGTCTTCCAGACAGGGCGTCGGCGTTCCCGTGTGATGATCCCTTACGATGACGGATAGTGATATCATACTCTTGGAGTCTCTGTATCCACCTGGCTATCTGACCTCAGGATTCTTGAAATTTAAAAGACTGGCCAATGAGGCATGGTTCGTGCGGAGAAATTTTCTGCCGTATAGATAGTGGTGGAAATGCTCTACGGCTTTAACTATGGCAAGCAACTCTTTCCGAGAGACAGAGTAATTCCTCTCCGGTTTAGATAGGCACTTGCTCCAGTAAGCTAGTACACGTTCTTGGCCGTCTATTTCTTGGAACAAAACAGCACCGACAGTTTCATTGCTCGCGTCCGTGTCGAGAATAAATGGTCTGTCGAGCTGAGGATACGTCAGGATTGGAGCAGATGTTAAAGCTTCCTTTAAGTTGTTAAATGCACCTCGCATTCTTTTGTCCACAAGAACCTTTGCTTGCTCTTTGTCAGCTTGTGAAGGGGTCTTGCAATGGAAGAAAATATATAGTAGGTGCAAAGCCTATAGTAGGTGCAAAGCCCTAGGAATCTCCTATAGTAGGTTCAAAGCCCTAGGAATCTTCTCAGCTGATGGACATTTTCGGGACGTTTCCAGGATTTAACGGCTGACACCTCTTCAGGATCCGTGCACACACCTTCTGCAGAGATGATATGTCCGAGATAAGTCACTTCCTTTCGGAACAGTTTGCATTTAGCGGGACCCAGCTTCAGATTGGCTTCTTTCAATTTCTGAAGTACCTTTCTAAGATTTTCTAGATGTTCTTCAAAACTCTTTCCGACGATGATGACGTCGTCCAGGTATATCAGACAGGCTTCGTAGGAAAGACCTTTCAAAACAGTCTCCATGAGGCGTTCGAATGTTGCCGGCGCATTACACAGTCCAAACGGCATCACCTTGAATTGCCTTGAAGCCCTTGTCCGTCGTAAATGGCGTCTTTTCCGGTTATCAGGGTGTATTTCTACCTGCCAATACCCACTCTTTAATCAAGTGTTGAGAACCACTTGCTTCCAGAAAGAGTGTCTAGAATATCGTCAATTCTAGGAAGAGGGTAACTGTCTTTCTTCGCAACCTCATTCAACCGGGGATAGTCGACTCAAAATCTTGTTGAGCCGTCTTTCTTTCTGACTAGGACGATGGGAAATGCACACGGACTTGCTGAAGGCTCGATGACATCGCCTTCTTCCATATCCTTTAAAAGTGTTCGTACCTCTTCCTGTTTAGCAAACGGTAGACGTCTTGGATGTTGCTTGATCGAGGGATGATCGCCGGTATCGATTCTATGTTGTGTCAAACTAGTTCGACCCATGTCAGAAGACGAGCGGGAGAAAACAACTTGAAGATCTTTAATGACGCGATCGGCAGCATTTTTCCCTTCATCGTTTAATTGCGCATTCTGCAATAACTCCGATGTAGTGCTTTCTGAAGACACGGATTCTTGGATGTTACTCTTTCTTTCAACGCTGGTTACTGGAGTACATGCAGCAACCACTTCACCTTTCTTAACAACTCTCGCCTTCTCAGTTGCATTGGCGACTCTCACCGGAAGAACCGTTTTGGATAGGTCGACGAGTGTTGAGGCTACTAGTACTCCTTTCGGGCTATTACAGCTATTGGGATATTCTATGATGCCGTAGCGGAAATTTCTATTTTCGGCTATGGACCCAGGAAGTAAAAATTCGGTTCTTGCGGGTATTGTGATATCATCCTGAGCTATAATTTTGTGGATAGATTTCACTCCATCATTAATTCCGAATAGGGCTATATCCTCAGATGTAGGATGCAATTCGTTATTTTTAAAGTACAAGGAAAAATTGTATTTCCTTAGAAAGTCCAATCCGAGTATGCAAGAATCAGTGATCTCTGCTATATATGCGTGTGATGGTAAGCGGCACTTCCAAACGTGATGTTAACGTTTACTTTTCCATCGATGTCGATCTTCTCACCGGACACAGTGTGGAGGGTAACGCAGGGCGGAGTCCAGATAAGTTTGTTTCCAGTTGTTGAGCCAAATCTTTTCGGATGATGGTAACGTTGGCTCCTGTATCTATCGTCATATTGCAGGGAACTCCATTAATATGTCCTATTATGAAAAGTCCATTACTGCCGCCTCTCACTGCAGAAATCTGAAGTGCTTTAAACTGGGCTTTTCATAATCTGGCAACCACCGCGCCGCAAGGTGGCCACTAATTAGTTTCCCTGCTGTTTGTTAGGAGCGGTCTTAACATCCGTACCCTGGGGTATTCTGCAGTTTCGTCGTATGTGTCCTTCAGCACCGCAGTTCCAGCACTTAACGGTCGGTTTCTTCTCACCAATATTCCGTCTCAAGGCGTTCAGTTGTCTAGTTAAATCGTCTAGACGAGCGGTGACGTGATCCCCGGCTCCTGGACTTGAGCAGCTCTGACTGGGTGGCGGGTCTCGACAAGTGGCTTGTGGGCTGCTCGAATTTCATGTCGTACACTAAAGCGCTTTTCAAATCTTTAAAATCCGCCATTCGCAGTGCTTTCTGTATTTCAGGGTCCCGGATGCCATCGATGAAATATTGCAGCGACAGGATTTCTCTTATTTCTGTCGGGCATTCCGAAAAGGCTTGTGTGACAGCCTTTCACATCCGCGGCGAGTCCTGAAGTGTTTCGTGGGTTCTGCTGACGGGTTTAATTGAAGCCTGCTGTAATCTTTAAACATTTTCGCAAAGTGGTCCAGTGCGATAAAGCTTCGAAGTCAAGTCTTTGGTTTGGAAGCGTCTGCAGGATATCGCTGCGTTTGTCTCAGAGAAGCGGCGAATGACAGGCTCAGTTAAGAATCCCATCCATTCGCATAGAAATGATAGAAAATGGTTTCCTATACATTTGCTAGGAGGTCTTCCCATCATATTAGATAGTTTTCAGAGAGGGACGGCAAGCATAGGTAAGAATTTAAACTCTCAGAATTGCTTCTCTGTCACATGCTCTCTTTAAAGTTCAACTTTTGGCAACACAGCAGAACCCCTTTCCATTTGTTGTTGGACGGCAGAAACTCTTTGTTCATTTGTGCTCTACGCAGAAACTCTTTCTGAATTTCTCAACTTTGTCGTCACTGTTTATCTTCCTCAAGCTTCGAACTTGTTTTCTATTTATTTCAATTCAGTAAAAAACAGATCATTCAAAATTCTAGATAAGCAAATGAAGAAAGGTTGCTTACCTTTATGATCCGCTTTCTTCGATTCTGGTCCGCCGCTTTTGTAGACTCCGATTTGGTTCAAACTCATCTAAAATTGGCACTATTTTGTATGAATCACTTTATTTGACATTTGACACAAAAGAGGAACAATATCTAAATCATTACACTATCAAAAAACACTTCTAACTACTTAGCATCATTGTTCTACATATCTAACAGCGTCATTAGTCTACTGCGTCACTGTTCTAAAAGCATACACTTATCGTTGCCAGTTCTCAAAAAACAAACTTTCTTTTTCAATTCTCGTCGGTCTGGAGGCTCAATCCGTTCCCCAAGAGCGGAGCGTGCGTCGTTCGCGACACACTCCCCCCGATGAGTTTCACCAAGTTGAAACTCAGCCACAGTCTGGTTGAAAGTTCATGAGGTTTAATCGTTCAGGAGTTCGAATCACTCGTCCACATCTAGTTGTTTTGAGGGGATTCTGATTGAGTTCATCTGACTGATCTTTGTCAGTGGCACGAAAACTCTGTAGATCCAATAGAAGTTGTAGGCTTATCACACATTTTTTGATCAGAATGCTTCTTTCTCAAACAGTCTCCTATATTATCCGTTTGTAAATGGACTTCCAACGGATAAATTCGTTGTATGGGTCGAAGGATTTCGCCACTTTTGGTGCGTAATTTTACTAAACGAACTACACACCATCATTTCCTGGGATGAGTGTTATAATTTTTCCTAGAGGCCACTTAATTCTTTTCTCAGGTGTTTCTATTAACACAATGTCTCCAACCGATAGTTTAACATATTTCTCTGTTTTTAAAATATGGTTTTTCAGTTGTCCTAAGTATTCAGTTCTGAACCGTTTTCTTAGATCTTCTCTAACCTTCATCTGATATGCATACCTTTTTTGTAAGTATTTGGCATCAATAATATCTAGATCTGGAACGCCACTTTCTTTTAGATCACGAAAAAACATTGCAGGTGTCAAGGGTTCCAGTTCCAAGTCCTCGGAAATATAAGTTAATGGTCTGCAATTTAAGATATTTTCGCAATCACAGAGGATCGTATAGAGTTCTTCATATTTCAGTGAGGCATTACCTAAAACTTTTCTGAGAATGTTTTTCATCAGGCCAATCATTCTTTCCCAAAATCCACCCCACCAGGGAGAAGCTGGTGGGATAAATTTCCACTTAATGCGGTTGACAACATGATTTTTAATAAGTTTATCCCAGTCAATCATTTTTAAGAGCGAATTTGTACCAATAAAATTACTACCGTTATCAGTGTAGACAATTTCAGGTCTTCCTCTGCGTGCTATAAAACGACGTCGGAAAGCCAATAAAAAGTTATCTGTTGACAAAGACGTTAAAAGTTCAAGATGAATTGCCCTGTATACAGCACATGTAAATAAAACGATCCACGTTTTCGATCCATTTTTTTAAAAACAAAGGGCCAGCTAAGTCGATACCTGTCACTTCAAAAATAGAAGAATCTTTAACACGGTCCTTTGGCAAAGGTGCGGATTGTACCGTGGAGGGCCTCGAATCAAATCTTCTACATTTAGTGCAGTTTTTCAACACTTTACGAATAGTTTTACGACGACTTTTCAAAATCCAGAAATTTTCTCGTAGCATTGCCATTAAAGTCTGAGTTCCGCAATGCATTTGTTGTTCATGTTTTTCCCTAATCAGTTTAGAGACAACTGGATGTTCAGGAGGTAGGATTACAGGTGTTCTAAAATTTTCGAAGTCTTGTCTTATTAATATTCTTGACTTTACTCTTAAAAGACCAGATGAATTAACAAATGGTTTTAAATTTCGTAAGCGTTTATCCTTTTCTGTTTTAAAGGAAACCCTTTGCACAGTTTTCCAAACAAGGACTTAATTTTTAATTACTTAATTTCTGTTTACTTAATTTCTGTTTAAAAAACTTAATTTAACTTAATTTCTGTTTTAAAGGACATTTAAGAGAAATGGAGCTGCATTCAATTTTTCGATTTCTAAGTTCTTTGAC